GTCAGCGTGGAAGACAAAGCACGTATTTAAGTATTGCTAACCGCATAGTTAGCGTGATAAGGTCAAGCCAAAACGCACAGAGACTGTCAGCGTAGCATCTTACACACGTCTAAAAATATGCGGGTCAAACACAACATTTGTAACTTACATAGGGTAAGTATTGTCCGTTACATGTCGCAATGCTGCGGTGACGACGGAGCGTCTGCCAGAGATATAAATAAGGAAGCCCACAAATCACCGGAATACGCCTCAGGTGTGCGCACCGACCCACGAGTCACTAATTACCCGATGCGACACAGCTGAGGCGTTGATCCCGCAAAAAGGGAGCAGGAGAGGAAAAAAGAAAGAGAGGCAGGTCGCACCGAGCGGACCTGACAGCTATTGTTTGAAAACAATCTCTATTTCTCTGTAGGCATTAGGCTATTCTCTGTTTTTAGTGTGATGCTCAATGGTGTTAAATGATCTGGATAACGAACAGGTCTACCTCTTCTTACTCAATGTGTTTGTTTTCTACAGAGCGAGTACTTGTGCATCCAAACTTCCCTGTTGCATAGTGCTGTGCAATTAGTCTTTAGCTAGTCATAGCTTTGATTTGAAGAACTTCTCAGATGAACTTCCACAAATAATAGAGCTTAACTGCCACTTTAAGAAAAACAAAGTCAAACATTTTATAAAGACAATAAGAACATCTGCACCTCGTAGTAATTTGATGCTGGGCTTTCTAAGTTCTGCATGTCATGCATGCTTTAGTCCATAACTCATTTATATCTGACTGCATCTGTTCTCAGATGCTTTTTCTCTCTCTTGCATGTTATTCCTGTCTCTCGCTCTCCTGCTACCTTCTCTTCCCCATCATTATCATCTCCATCTGACTCACTATCTCCCTCTCTCCATCTGTCCCCTTCTTCAGAACTAAAATATGAATCCATTATTCATTAATTCAAACATATCTATCATCACCGATTGCTGCACTGTGCCCCTTATCTGCAAAGCTTTTTCTTATTGTGCTTCAGTTATTCACGACTTGTACGGTCCCATCTGAAAACAGCACAACACCGGGGAGTGTTTTTTAGCAGTGCAAGCACTGACAAGAGTGGTTCGTGAGGCAGTAAAAATCCCTTTAGGGGATTCTCCTGTCATAACAATAGTGGTGCCAGCTTAAAATAACGGTTGTTTGTGTGGAGGGTTTATTTAAAGCAATAAAATATGGGAACTTGCCAATGCACCATACATAAATACTGAATAATTTGTGTGGTAAGGAGCAGGTGGTGCTATGAGGGAGGTCATATTATCAACTATGCTCTTGTATATCTTTTTCATAGCTTGTATACATCTACTCAATATTGTTTGAATTTGATCACAGCAAACAAATACAACTCGTAGAGGAAACATGGCAACAAGCAGGTCCCTTTTCTTATCACAAGTCCCTGAAATATCCATGCCCTGACTAAGAGACAGGTCTCGGCTGAGCACATCCTCTTTGTTTCCAATGAATTCTTGGCTGTAGGTCAGCGGTTGTCAGACAGAAAGTTTCCAGGTGAGAAAACAATCTGGCTTCGCTCTCCAAGCTCTAAAAGGTGAACATCTGGTAGGCAGCGAAGCACTCCATCCATTGTCCATTTTCTCATTCCCCAGCATGAACCACCACCACTGCTCTCACACTGTAAACATAAAATGTGAATATCCTGCATTATTATTACATACTATTACCATGTGTAAATTAATTAACGATAATTAACAAACACTGCTCAAATGTTTACTTAATTAATTTGTATAAATTGCTAAGTTTGATGTGTTATGTAAGGTAACTTGTGATTGAATCATCTAATGTTCTAAATGTATTTTCAATGCACTTTTTTTATCTTTGTAGGCCTCATTTTTAAAATTATTTTTGATTAATGATGATTAATGTCTGATTAATAATATCAAGTGCATAACCAAGCTGAAGTGCTTAGGGCCTCAATATCTGTCGTCAATTGCTACCCAGTTAGTGTACTGCTGTGTAAAAATATAAATATAAAAATAAATGAATAAATATGTTAATAAAATTCTGACATTATGGTTTACAGTAGTTCAATTTTTTTAACTTTTGAGATTAGTTTTTTGTTTTCATTTTTTGTAACTGTTTTAATGCAAGGCCGCACAAGAAAAGAAGAAACAGCAAGGCACACGAATGCTGGCGGAAAGACAAGCAAAGTTACAGTGATCATAAAAGACTGAAAAGTCAGCAATGATTCTGCTGACCTGACCTCCTTCAGGAGGGTTTTACAGAGAGTGGGTCACCTGATGGCAAATGTCTCAACTGAGGATAAAAAATTTAAATTACAGTACACTAAAATGAATTCAGTTACAGAAGCAAGTGTATGTTTCCTCTTCTGTGGAGTGTTATGTGCACAGAAGATAAATATAATGTTGTCATTTGTGAGTTATTCATGACTCTTTAGGTGACACTGTTGATATGGGCTTTAATGCATTTCTCACTGCTATAAATCCCTTAAACAAAGCATTTGACATTTTCTCCATCACTGCAATTTTGTCTAATTTATACACAGCATTAAATCTTCACATCACTGTAATTCCAATGTGTTAAACTAATTCTTTTCAAGGCTCATTTCAGTTATAGTATCTTTGCAATAACCATGGGTCAACCCTAGATTGGTAAAAATGAAGGTAGATTATTGTACATCCTCATTCCGATTTTACAACGAAATAGACACATTATTGAACAGACACAGAGAAAGTCAGAATGATGATAAAGGACCATGAGAGGCTGTAATTCTTTCATTTAGTAAATGGAAATCAGTGAAGCAGCTCTTTAATTTATGTGTTGTTTCAATTCAGCACAAATGTATACACGTTTTTGGCATTTTTTGCATATATTTATGTCACACACAACTCTGTCTGCACAAAACAGAGATGGATTGAATCATGCATGGTTGTTTAAGCCGACCAGAGTAAATGTAATAAATGTACATGACTATAATGCTGAATTGCAGCAGTGTCTTAATGTGTACAACTGCTTCAGTATGGGCTGAAAGACGCAGGGTTTGTGCAGGTCTCTTAATTGAGTATAAGGCAGTTACTTGTATGCATGCATGGTACAAGTCCATGTACTATATGGATTGCTTAAGATGATACAGTATATCATTGAGA